CGCGTGTTAGTCTGCTACAGGAGGGCACGTCTGCCCTGATAACTCGCTGTCAGAGACAGTGAAAGCCTGACAGGAAGCGCGCTCTGATTGCCTGCCTGATTTTATGTTTTCAAGCCCGTCCCATTCCCCACTTGCCATGAAGGAGAAGTTGGTGCTGGTGCTGTGGTAAGCATGTTTTTTCACAAAAATGTTTTTTGCATGTAAAAGTAAATTTTCTTGATTCAGGTAGAAAAATGTATATCATACATGTTGATGAACTTCCAACATAAAACCATGTGGTTGATGCTAGCTGAAGATTAGCCTGAATTGCTAAGAGATGTGTTTTTTTCTAAAATAGTGGCTGTGGGGTAAAGTGAGAAATGCTGAAGCACAAGTTAAGTTCAGTCTTAAACATATTTTAGTGTAAAATTACATTACATGTTTTATTTTTAATGTAGAATTGTAGAAAAGCAATCATGCCAAGAAACTACACCAGGAAGACAACCTGGGGCCCAACACCCCTCGCAGAGATGGAGAGTGCAGCCGCTGAGGTCATGCAAGGAAAGAAGTCCTTAAGAAAAAGCTGGAAGGGATAGAAATATTGACAAGACAACCCTACAAAGATTCATAAAGAAAAAAGAGAAAGGGGAAGTAAAATCAGTAGCCTGGGGTGCAGTAGCCGAGGCAAGGAGAATATTCACAGATGAGATGGAGGAGGAGCTTGCCAAACACTTGAAACAACTAGCTGACCAGTTCCATGGCCTTGCTCCAGTTAAGTGCCGTGAACTGGCATTTGAATACGCAGAGAAAAACAATATCCCTGTCCCTGCCAATTGGACAGAGAAACAATGTTCAGGTAGGCTAGGGTGTGCAAGAGATCACTTGATTCTGTAGGTTAACTGATCTTGCCACAAAGCTAAATCTTATAATAAAGAATTCTCTACTCTTTAGGAGAAGAGTGGTTTGGCAGCTTCCTAGCACGTCGCCAGCTCTCTGTCCGTACTCCGGAGGCAACATCCCTGGGAAGGGCTACAGCCTTCAATAAAACTACAATGGGCTGTAGTGATGGACAGGTGACATAATTCATTATTTAGTTGCAAATTGTTTATGGAGGCTTTACCTGTAAGATAGTTTGGTTCTTGCCTATCTTCTTTAACAGGTACACATTCCCTCCACACATGATTTACAATGTGGATGAAACAGGTGTCTTTACAGTACAAACGCCACGGCAGGTAGGCTACACATGATACACTAGAGAGCACCAGACTGATACTGAGTGGCTTGTGATAATGACCAGCTAGCTATTGGCAGAATGCTAAAACTAATGATATTAGTAATGTTGTGAACTGGAAAAAAAAAATGAATGGACTGAAACTAAATACAATGCACCTTTAGAACAATAGTAGCCTACTGATTGCAGATGCCATTGATTCTAAACTTTCTATTTGATTCAGGTTGTGACAGAGAAAGGAAAAAAGCAAGTTGGTTCTATCACATTGGCTGAGAGAGGAGAACTGGTGACTGTAGTGTGTGCAGTGAATGCTGCTGGGAATGCCATACCTCCAATGTTTATCTTCCCCAGAGTTAGGATTAAGGACCACTTCATGATAGGAGCACCTCCTGGAGCCAAAAGGTGCCTCCACCAGAACAGGATGGATGAATGAAGACACCTGGCCTGAGTTCCTTGATCACCTGATACAGCACACTAAGTGCACTCCTGACCATCCCATGCTGCTAATCCTTGATAATCTTAAAGCTCACATCTCACTCAAGGCAGTAGAAAAAGAAAAGAGCAACGGTATTGTTCTGCTCACCCTTCCACCCCACACATCCCATCGCATGCAGCCTCTCGACGTGACCGTGTATGGCCCGTTCAAGACCCTATACAGCAGAGCTCTTGATGGGTGGATGAGATCTAACCCTGGCAAAACAGTCTCCATCTACGAGTTTGCAGGACATGTGAATGAGGCCTTCTTATCAGCAGTGACACCACGGAATATCACTTCTGGATTCAAGGATTTTCCCATATAACCGAGATATTTTCCCTGAGGAAGCGTTTGCACCATCCATGGTGTCAGACCGGCCAAATCCTGAGCTGCAGCCTGCATCCACTGGTCCATCCACTTCAGATGATCCGACTGATCCACCCGCTGCAGATGATCCACTCGCTGATGCAGGTCCATCCACTGCGCATGGTCCACATGGATGTGCCTCGCCAGCTGACTCAGATGTGCCACGTGTTCCCAGCCGACCTGGATATGTGTCTCCTCGGGAAATCCTACCACTTCCCAAATGTCCCCCCAGAGCACAAACCAAGAGAAAGCGTGTGAAGACAGCCATCCTAACTGATACTCCTGAGAAGCAGACACTAGAAAAGGCTTATGAAGAGAGACAAAAGGAACTGGCAGGCAAAAAGCAAAGAAAAGGGACAACCGAAAAGGAAAGCACCCAAAAAGTTCTGAGGATGATCCTGGAAACGCAGATCTGTCCGTGGGTGACTTTGTCCTAGTTAACTTTGCAACCAAACACAGGAGTCTCTGTTACATTGGCATGGTTGAGAAAGTTGAGGATGACGAAGTTCTTACACAATTCCTCAGAAGAATCCAGGAAAACAAGAAAGAGTGGGAGAGACCCACGTTTGCTGTAAAGGAAAATGATCTGGCACATGTTCCTAAAAGGTGATGTGGTGAAGAAGCTGCCTCAACCTAATAGGCCTGGAGGAACCACACGGAGAGAGCAACTCTTCACCTTTCCCTGTAACCTTCAGGGCTGGAATGTAGGGTAGGCCTTGTTATAGAGTATGAGGCTGATGTTCTAATCCAGGTGGGTCTAGTCGTGTGTTCTGAGTCTCAGGCTGTTCTAGCTGGTTCTAATTATGGTCCCATGACTGTTCTAATGTAACTGGTTCTATCTGCCATTTGAATGCTAATAAAACCATTTTGAATTATATTATGTTGTATATGATTTTGTTCGGAGTTACTTTCAAGTGTTTAAACAAAAAATGTACTTACTTGACCAATCCCCATGATTCTGTTACTAGTCCGATATTAGTTCTCCTTCAGGGACTACCGCTGCGTGTAATCGCAGTGGGAACGCCCTCAGCGTGACGCGTCTGAAGCATGAATGAAATCAGTCAATGGAGAGAAAGAGCGTACGGCGAGTGACGTCATCGACCAGGAAGCTGTAAATATCCCCAGAGCACACAACACGCCAGCTTTTTTTACTTCAGCAGCTCGGTATGTGTGTCTGAATCTGTCGATTGTGTTTGTCTGTTCTGTCAGGAGTTTATCACTATATATTTATATATATATAAAAAACCAATATGAGCGAGCAGTATAAGAAGTGTGTTCCTCCCTGTACTCGATATATCACGGGTGGGGATTCACACAAGTTATGTGTGGCTTGTTTGGGTGTTCAACATGCCCAGTCGGCTCTTGAGGGAGTCGACTGTAAGCATTGCGAACGCTTTCCTCTTAGAACTCTGCGCTCGCGGCGATCGCTCTTTGAGGAGAGTGGTATGCTGCGAGCTCCCCAAGGCTCGGGTCCCGCTTCTGTTGAGGCAGAGCGGCGGCGCTTGTCTTGGGGTTCGCAGATGGATCTCACCGGCGATGTTGCGACAGGCCCCGCCCTGTCTCAGCCTTCTCCGGCGGGATCCAGTGCCTTTCACCCGGTTTCGGAAGCACGCGCTGCGGCGGTTACTTCTGCCCAGGTGGAGGCACATGATGATGTTGAATTGAGATTATCCAGTTCTGAGGATCTGGATGTCGAAAGTTTTGCATCAGAGGAAACTAGTGTCTCACATTATACTGCAAATGAAGAAGGTTTGATGGATGTGTTATCTCGCGCTGTTGAAAAGCTCAGTATCGAGTGGCCAGCTGATAGACAGGATTCTAAAATTAGAAGCAAACTTGATGATAGATTTCTGTCTGCACGACCTCAACCTTCTCGCCGGTGCTTACCGTTCTTCCCAGACCTTCATGATGAGGTTTCAAATACCTGGGTTAGACCGGTTTCTAGCAGAATTTACACGAATCAATCTAATGCTTATGGAAACATTTTTGGTGCAAAATCTGCTGGTTATGTGACAATGCCGAAGGCGGAGGAGACGCTCGCGAGCTATCTCTCTCCTGCTTCTTCGGTTTCACTTAAAGCACCGGCTCTTCCATCTAGACCACTAAAAAATACCTCTGTGCTGGTGGGGAAGGCTTACTCGGCTGCTGGGCAGGCGGCTGCGTGTTTGCACACTATGGCTATTATGCAGGCTTATCAGGCCGACCTGCTCAAAGATGTTTCTGAAGGGGGTGAAATTTCGGCTGATATGATTAGCGAACTTAGGCAGACTGCTGATCTCACTCTGCGTGCCACCACTAAATCTATTGGTCGATCTATGGCAGCCATGGTGGCCACAGAAAGGCACTTATGGTTGAGTCAGACATCTATGAAGGAAAGAGATAAATCTCTCCTTTTAAATGCTCCTGTTTCACCTGCGGGCCTCTTCGGTGACGCTCTTCACTCGGTCACGGAGAGGTTCCAGGAAGAGAAAAAACAGGCGGCTGCTTTTTCTAAATTTATCCCTCTCAAGATACGTGTCACTGGGGCTGCTGAGCGAAAAGGGCAGTCCCAGCCGTCGAGTTCTTCCTCTTCAAAAAGAGCACAGCAGAAGCGGAGTGTCGCGTCTCGTGCCCCCCCGCAGGGAAACTGGAGGGACGAGGCGGGGCGCTCTCCGGCGCGGCCTTCTCGGGGCAGGACTGATCTGAGGACAGTCATTGTCGCCAGGAAGGCCGCGTCGAAAAAGTCCTGACGGGCTGAACGTCAGGACTCTGAGGGTGGTCCCCATCGGGAGAGACTTGAGTTCACCGCACAAGAACACGGTGCCCTGTCTTTCCCGATGCCCTCAGGGGTCTGTTCTACTAACCCTGCCTACACAGGGCGTAGAGAGACTCGGCGAGCGATTTCCCGAGGGACGCTCGCCCCCTCCGAGGAGGGTTGTGGAGTGTTCAGACCAGCTGTTTCCTGCCAGTATGTTACAGGGCGCTGTGTCTGTCACTCGGGATGTTCATCCAGAGACCAGCCTCGAGAGGCTGGTTCCCTTAGTAGAGTTCCTGGCGGAATGGGAAATGCTCCCTAATGTTTCTCAGTGGGTCCTGAATATTATAAAGAACGGGTACGCTATTCAGTTCAGAACGCCTGCTGAACGCCTGCTCGGGGCCCACTGTGGTGGGCCCCGAGCAGGCTCTGGTATTAGAACAGGAGGTAAAAACTCTGCTGCTAAAAGGGGCTATAGAGCGGGTTCCTCCACCCAGCAGGGAGTTAGGATACTACAGCCGGTACTTCATCGTTCCGAAAAAAGATGGAGGGCTGCGTCCCATTCTAGATCTGCGTGTCTTAAATCACACTGTAGGGAAGCTCAAGTTCAAGATGCTCACTCTCAAGCAGATCGTGTCACAAATCAGATCCGAGGACTGGTTTGTCACGATAGATCTAAAGGACGCTTACTTTCATGTATCTATCCTCCCTCAACACAGGAAGTTCTTGAGGTTCGCTTTCGGGGGCGAAGCTTACCAATATCGGGTTCTTCCGTTTGGCCTAGCACTGTCACCCCGCACGTTCACGAAGTGTATGGATGCAGCTATAGCTCCGCTCAGGCTGCAGGGCATCCGTATTCTGAACTATATAGACGATTGGTTAATTCTAGCTCAATCGGAACATCTGGCGGTTCGGCATCGAGATGTCGTTCTTGCTCACATCAAGAGGTTGGGGTTGAGACTCAACGCCAAGAAGAGTGTTCTTTCTCCATTACAGAGAACCACTTTTCTCGGTGTAGTGTGGGATTCGACGACGATGTAGGCACAACTGTCACCTGCTCGTGTTGCTTCGATTCTCGCCGCAGTACATCAAGTCAAGCTAGGCCGGTCATCCACTGTAAAACAGTTCCAGAGACTGTTGGGTCTCATGGCGGCTGCGTCCAACGTGATACCTTTTGGCCTCCTGCACATGAGACCGTTACAGTGGTGGCTCAGAACCAGAGGATTCTCCCCGAGGGGAAATCCGCTTCGCATGATCATGAGTTCGCGACGGTGTCATCGCGCCCTGGTTATGTGGAAAGATCCTTGGTTTCTGTCCCAAGGCCCTGTGTTGGGAGCTCCTTGTCGTCGCGTAATGCTAACGACAGATGCTTCTCTCACGGGTTGGGGGGCGATCATGAGTGGTCGCCCCGCTCAGGGTCTGTGGGAGGACCATCACCGTCTATGGCACATAAATTGTCTAGAGATGTTGGCAGTGTTTCAGGCCCTGAAACATTTCCTCCCGGACCTAAGAGGCCACCATGTTCTTGTCCGGACAGACAACACATCGGTGGTCTCCTATATCAACCACCAGGGGGGTCTGCGTTCTCGCCCGCTTTACAGGCTGGCACGTCAGATCCTTCTGTGGTCCCAGGGGAAAATTCTCTCTCTCAGAGCTATTTATCTCCCGGGGTATTTGAATCAGGAGGCAGACATCCTGTCGAGGCAGGGGCCGAGGCCCGGGGAGTGGAGTCTTCACCCCGAGGTGGTGGAGCTCCTATGGGGACATTTCGGTCGTGCCGAGGTAGACCTATTTGCGTCCCGAGAGACATCACACTGTCCACTGTGGTTCTCTCTCAGCCAGCCAGCCCCACTGGGGTTGGATGCTATGGTACATCCGTGGCCGAGGTCACGCCTGTACGCTTTTCCCCCGATCGCTCTGCTCCCAGGAGTTCTGGAGAGGGTTCGCCGGGACGGGCTCAGTCTCCTGCTTATAGCCCCGTTCTGGCCGGCCCGAGTATGGTTTTCGGACCTAGTATCTCTCCTCGACGGCTCTCCCCTAGAGATACCGATCAGGAGAGATCTGCTCTCTCAGGCGAGTGGGTCGATCCTTCACCCCCGTCCAGAGCTATGGAGGCTGTGGGCTTGGCCTCTGAGGGGGCCCAGCTCATAGATTCTGGTCTCTCGGCTGAGGTCGTTGAGACCATCCTCCAATCCAGAGCTCCCTCCACGAGGAAGTTATATGCCGCGAGGTGGAAGCTTTTCACCTCTTGGTGTGGAGAGCGCCAGCAGGACCCAGTCAACTGCCCGGTTGGTACGGTGCTGGATTTTCTGCAGGACTGTCTCTCCACAGGGTTATCCCACTCCACACTGAAGGTGTATGTGGCGGCCTTAGCTGCTTACCACGCCCCTTCAAGTGGAGGTTCCCTTGGGAGACACCCACTTATATCTCGCTTCCTTCGTGGCACCCTGAGGCTGAGGCCTGCAGTTCGCACGAGGGTACCAGCTTGGGATCTGGCCATCGTATTAGAAGGTCTCTCCCTTGCTCCTTTCGAGCCCATCGAGGAAGTTTCGGAAAAGTTTCTTACTCTTAAGACTATCCTTCTTCTTGCTATTTCATCTCTAAAGAGGATTGGTGATATTCAAGCACTTTCGGTGGCTCCCTCGTGTCTGGAATTTGCTCCTGGTATGGTTAAGGCCTTTCTCTGTCCGAGACCAGGTTATGTTCCTATGGTGCCAACCAATTTGGTTAGACCTATAGCTCTGCAGGCTTTCTGTCCTCCGCCTTTTCTGACGTCAGACCAGAGGAAACTTAATTTGCTGTGCCCTGTTAGGGCTTTAGATGCGTATGTCCACAGAGCTTCTCTGTGGAGGAGATCGGAACAACTGTTTGTCTGTTTTGGGTCACCTAAGAAAGGGTGTCCTGCATCTAAGCAAAGGATGAGCAAGTGGGTGGTCGAGGCCATCTCGCTTGCTTACGGTTCGGCCCATCAGCCTTCACCTTTGGCTGTAAGGGCTCATTCCACCAGGAGTATGGCGGCCTCTACAGCTCTTCTTTCAGGAGTTTCTCTTCAGGACGTTTGTGATGCGGCAGGCTGGTCCTCACCGCACACTTTCGTCAGATTTTATTCCCTTGACCTTAGCTCCACTCCAGGGGCTCAGGTTCTCTCGTCGGTTTGTGTCTCCTGATGACACACGACGGGGATTTGGTCGTATGGGGATGTGGGTATTGCGTTCCCACTGCGATTACACGCAGCGGTAGTCCCTGAAGGGGAACGTCCGGGTTACGTATGTAACCCTAGTTCCCCGAAGGGACGGACGCTGCGTGTCCTGCCATACTCTCGGCATCCCCTTGGGTCGCTGCTTCAGTAACTTTTAAGCTGGCGTGTTGTGTGCTCTGGGGATATTTATAGCTTCCTGGTCGATGACGTCACTCGCCGTACGCTCTTTCTCTCCATTGACTGATTTCATTCATGCTTCAGACGCGTCACGCTGAGGGCGTTCCCACTGCGATTACACGCAGCGTCCGTCCCTTCGGGGAACTAGGGTTACATACGTAACCCAGGACGTTTTGGAATGTGTGGTTGTCAATCTAGCTGTCAGGATTTTAACGGTCACAACATGTGTTGTTATGGTAGTTTTAAAGTGGATCAGTTTACCCCCAGCTGGTTCACTTTACCCCCTTCATTTCTCTGATCTGTCTCACTTTACCCCATCTTAGGGGTAAAGTGAGACAGAAGACCACTTTCTTAAAAACAATCATTTTCACTGTCCTTTGTCCTGAAGACATTCTGATCATTTACATGGCTAGGAAACATCCTGAATTAATGGCAAATGTGTACATTTCACTGATATCATTTTAGCTCGCCTAGAGGTGAGCAAAAAAAAATGTCTCACATTACCCCGCTCTCCCCTACTAAAAATGTTTAAAAACGTATTGTTTTCAATGTAAGGGTACCGCGGTACCTTTCTAGTACCAGTACACCGTGCAACACTAGTTTCAATTTCTTCAATGAGAAAATTCTGACCATCAGAGAGAAAATTGATGGGGTCCTGCCTTCAACCAGTGCCGACCCGTCCTCCAAATGATGGGGACCTTGGATGCAGCAGTGGGTCCTGATTCCTACTTGGATGGCTTCTCTTCCACCAACCTTGATCAACTGACTTCTACAATTTCGAAGTCTAAATCTTCGACTTGTCTCTTGGATCTGATTCAGACTAAGCTGAATCTAGTTAGTTGACTAAATAGCACATCTTGGCTATGGATATTATGAATCTTTCTTTGTTGATGGGACATGTACCACAGTCCTTCAAGGTAGCTGTAATTAAACATCTTCTCAAGAAACCTACTCTTGCTCCTTTTTGTTCTCGCCCAAACTCTGCGTCTTACCTTTTTCCCAACGCAACTTCCTGACACACATGGCCACACAACAGCTTAACAAGTTAAGAATTACAAGTGTTTATTTAAATGGAGGGTTTATTAATATTATTTTTAGATTTGCATACAACTCTTTAGTATTCCAGTTCTGTTGATTGTGTATTGGTTGATATTTTTTCCCACGTTAGCTGACACTGGTTTCTGGAGTCAATGACGGAACCTGATCCGACTGCAACACCACAGCGAGTCAGTTTCTCTTCCTCAACCCGTTTGGTTCTGCTGTGCATTTTCTTCAACTATTTGTTGATTCTACTTTCAGTTCAGCAACTATAAACATAGCTTTAGTTGCAATTTGTTTGCGCTTTCCTCCCTGTTCCAGCCTTTAGCCACGACACGACCTATGGCTGACATTAATGTGACAGTAGTATGTGGCTGTTTTTCGTTTATTCAGAGAACTTCTTGACAGTGTATTCTCGGAATTTCCATTGTTTAGGCAACATTTCAAACATCAAGTTCTGTCAAGCATTTATCGGACAGTGTTATTGTGCAATAAACTTTACACAGCAGGGCATCAAAAGGCCAATGATGTGAGGTAGAAAGAGAGAGGCGGGCGGCCTTCAGCACCACTGTATCGGGGTAATGGACAATGAAATTACGTCCGTCCGAGGTCATCATAGATGGAATGCGTGAAGATTTAAGAACCATTTCTGAGGGCAGCGATATGAAGAAACATTGATGTTTCACCAAAATGTATGTTTACCACACTGCAGAAACATCGGTCTTAAATACTCGCTGAAAAACACCATTAAGAGAAAATCTGCACAATGTTGCAAAGAAATATAAATATGTTGAAAATCACATCCCCAATCTTTTCAAACGGTCCTTGTGTGTTCTTATTTTTCACTGGTAACGAGTCTTCAAAAAGGCAGATTATATTGTTTTGTTCTTTGAAACTGATAATTCTCAATGTACACCATCAGGGAAAAGGAAGGAGTGAACATCAATTGTAATATAATAATTCAGTAATGAAAGAGACATATACAGTAAAAACGTATTAGTATTAAAAAATAAAGATAAAAGAACTGAAAAATCGAAAAGAGGCCCCCTCTGTGAAACTAGACAAAGAGATGCCTCACGTTATGCTATACTAATCTTGCAAGTCAAACCTTTGTGAAAGTTTAACAATATAAATATGTGAACAAGGTCTCTTTCAGAGATGACAAATGTGCAATACAGAGTGGTGAGGAGAATGAAAAGAAGCTTAATGTATTTGTCGGCTCATCCTGCAGTCCACATTGAGAAGAGTCTTTATTTTGGCCAATAGAAGGTTAAAGAACTCGAGAAATGTTCAATACTAGAAGTATAGAAGTAATAATCAGCAGTCTATGTATAGTGTAACTATTTGGTTGGCTGGTGCTTTGATTGTCTGCTGTGCTGATGTGTTTTATTCTTGTCAAGATAAAATTGAAGTCATATTTTCTTCTGAAATAACTTGTTTAGAGGCAAAAGACTAAAGGAAGGCGTATAAAGGCTCAACCCCTTGTGGGCAGAAAAACAGAAGTACAATAAAAAGGAAGAAGTAGATGAGAGCTAAAAGCAAATAAACACAATAATCAGCTATGTGAAAAATATCCCACTGTATAGGAATTTGAATTAGCCATCCCCAATTTTCAGTGCCCGGCATGAAATAAATAAATATCTTTATCGCTCCAATTTGACAGAGCTATATATTTGCAATAGTCAGCTAATTCAAAGTCAATCCCTGATTTGGCGTCATTATCATGTTAGTCACGACTTGTTTTTAGAGAAAGCCTACCCTTGGTAAATACTCCTCTTCACCCGTGAGACAAAGAGTATCAACAGAAAGAATAAATGAGCATTGATCGGCCCTCGTGGCCACGTCTGGTCTCCACAATAGTAAACTATTGATGTGCTAAAATTGCTTTTGAAGGCAGACAGATTGCTAAAATAGTGTGGTTGGGGCCCTTAAGGGCTGGACTGCCAAGAGTTTAAGTCTGATTCACTGACCTTGGGTCAATATAGCCATTTGCATCATTCCTCCTTGGTGTTTGTGCTGAGGCCACAGTGCTGGCAGAAACGCTGAGTCCTGTGAGAGGAGCTAAGTCCTTCTCTAAAGCAGACAAAAACAGGAAATTGACCCATATTACACTCACGGTTGATTCTTCTTTAACTGCAAGCAGGTTAATGCCTTTGATTTTGTCCCTTCTGTAACCTGAAAGAACTGGTGTGATGGTGCACCTTGAGTTTTTCTTATTCACCTTCTTGACTATCCTATCTAAAACACACACAAGGCATGTATATCAAACTCACTGTTTGCATATAGACATTCCTTCTGTATGAATGTGAGATGCATGTACTGGTAAAATATATTATAACATTGTTTTGTGCTAAGGCCGTGTCTCAAGTGTCCTGTATTTGACCCTGAAGTGCAAAGAGCAGTGTGATACAAAATGTTGCTTTGCAGCTGATATGAAGCTGCTTCATATCTTATTCGGAGCTTTCGTTCCGGATCCACATTTTTACTTTTTACTTTTACAATTAATAATGATTTGCACCGGCCACTGGTGAGGATCTTGTGTGTGTGTGCTATCCTCAGCTTCACCTGGGTTCTTATCTCAACCTGCTTTGTAGCTTCTCGTAACTGGCACGGAGAATGTCCTTCACATGTGTATAAAAACTCAGCGTTTTCACTGCTCGGAGACGTCATTACGCCGAGCGCTGAGATACGTGCTGGTGTGTTTGACCTCCTGCCTATAGGCAATAGTTAGAGCCAGATATCTACAGAGAATTGCTCATGTAATCTTTTTCTCTTCTAAATAAATGTTAACTTTTTGACTTTAATTGATCAACGTGCTGCGATTCT